TTTAGAATTCATCATTTTGAATTCTACTTTTGATTCTGAATTATATTAGAGACTAAAACTTCTTGTTCTATCCAGAGGCAATAACTGCAGCTTTTCCTTTATTGTTATGCTGTTACCATTAGTTTATTAGTATGACTTTGAGTATCCTTCTTAAATTTTAATTTATTATTGTGGCTAGTTTTATAAAGATGCAACATTGCAAAAGATTGTGTTTTATTGATTGGTGGATTTATGATGCAGGACTGTAAAGCAGTGTGTTGAAGTATTAAATTAAATATTCTTCCTCTTTGTCCTACTTCAGGCCCATCTTGGAGGTTAAAGGGTATTACACAAATGAAATGAGAAATCCAGTTCACATAGTTTTCCTATAGACATCGAACTGCTTCTTTCTTATTATGTCTGAATAAAACTCATTATCTATTTTGTTTCAATAATAATTATGAGATTCTCTCCTATGCACTTCTTTACTGTCTCCATTATTCTCCATCTTATAGCAAATTCTGGAAAGGCAAGCATATAAATATGATAAAAGAATTAAGCTGTTGAAATAAATTAATTTATTGTGTAACAACATATTCAAATTTTACTTGCTCAATGGATTTTACTTTAATGAAATTCTTCAAAGAACAATAAATCATGTTCCAAAGACTGAAATTATACATTAAGTGAAATGGCTGAATATGTTGCATCTCAATTTATAGAAAGTTTCAATTGAATACTTAAGCTTTTAAATCATAAAAATTTGCATAAATTAAAATATTTTCTTTAAATAAAATTAAGTATTGTCCTTATATCCTTTGTTCTTAGACAAAAAATATAAAGTAAAAATAAGCTAAAACTAAATTAAATACTATGATTTAACCTATATTTTCTAACTCTTAAGTTATGCTTTTAAGATGTATTTTACATTAAGATTTTACACTAGTTTATTTTAGACTTATTTTATTATGTGATCTTTAGAGCATTTTGAATGTGTAAACATTTAAGTGAGCAAAACATGAATGAAAAGAACTATCGGTAATCTTTGACAATTAGATATATTGACTACTGAAACAACTTTTATACTCATGTGGAAAAAGAAACAAATAATTGTTTTTGTTTTTAGAGTTTTATGCATTAAATATTTAAGGGTTTTATGAGTTAAATACTCAGGAAAAAATCAGTTTCTGATGTTGTCCACTAGCACCACTGCAAAATCTATTATGACAGGAAACTAAGACTTGCAAAATGATTTTAGATGGATTGATTTACGTCAAGAATGTACTTTATCTCTGTTCAGCTAAACATGTGCCACAGCAAATATGATCACTTACATAATTATTAAGAAGAATATTAAAATGTATTGATGAATAACATTGATGTGAGTGGCCTTTTGAAGAAAATAGAACTATTAATTTAGAAAATATTATTTATATTAAAATATGGCAATGTTCTTTCTCAAATACATACCATGCATTTCTGTAAAATCCAAGTGTTAAGTTAGATGTGTTTAGATTTGGCTTTAAAGTTTAGACAAACTTGTGTGCCATTTTATCACAATTTCGAGAAGTCAAAGTTAGACTTTTTTATAGAGTATCTCTGGTCTTGTGCAGTTAGCTATAGCATAGCTTATTAATACACTTTTACAGACAATAAAGGAGTTCCACTATACAGTTTTATAAATCCACTCTCTACAATAAATGCACAGATACTCCAAAAGGGATAAAATCCAACTTTTGAATTCTATGCATAAACCAAGACTATTCTTTGATTTGTTATTGCAAAGACTTGGTCAGAGCCTTATTGCCATTTTTTTTTTTATTAACAAATTGTGATGTATTTACACAATTGAATATACTCAACAGTTAAAAAGATTAAACTAATGGTACATACAACAACATGGACGAGTCTCGAAAACATTTTGTTGTGTAAAAGAAGCCAGATACAAAAATTATGTACTATATGATTTCATTTTTTATGAAATTCTAGAACCAGAAAAACTACACTATGATGAAAGAATTCAGAAAGTGATTACTTATGGGATTGGGAGGAATTGACTGAAAAGGGGCATGAGAAGTCTTTCTGAGATTATGGAAATGTTCTAGATATTGACAAAACTCATTAAACTGAGCACATAGTAAATGTATAGTTTGAAGCTGCTTCATAGTTTAGAGTAAGGATTAATATTAAGAAAAAAAATTTATAATCCCAGCCATTTTTACATTATAATTACAATATAGAAAGTAACTTTTGGCATCCAGATGTAGATTCTGTGTTCTTTTTAAATCACATATGTTCATTTCTTAGAAATTTAGGTTATTATTATTATGTTTTTGCCATATGAACTAAAGAATTTAGACCATTTACAATTATAACTTGTTTGATTTATGTAGTTTGGAAAAATAACTATTAATATGTTCATTTTTTTCATGTTACTTGATACATAGGTTTCAGATATTTTAATCTGCAAATTGCATGATTGGAGACCATCTATCTTTAGTATCCTTTAGTATAACAAATGTAGGATGCCTAAAACTTCCCTGAATAAGCTATTTGTAAATGTTAATATTTAAGGTGTATGTGTATGTATTTCCTC